TGTTTGGAAGTTAAGTGGATGCATTGCCTAAGCCTTCAGTAGCAGTAGTCCCACTAAATATTTTCCCCAACATGTGGTAGTGCTTACATCTTTCCCTTTTGAACAACTTGTAATCCGACTTGTTAATCTACATTACGAAAGAAACCTTATTACAAAAGGAGTGCAATTGAATATCTCAAAAAATAAAGACGAAAATATTCTTTAATAAATATATATACCGTGTAAAAGTTTTGCCAACCTTTCTCTGTAGCATTAACTTTGTTGGTATTTGGATCCCATGTGACCCCTGTATATCCCAAAAGTTCGGAGAACATATGGTGAATTTTACGTAAGCGGTTCCACTTTCCCTTTAATCTATCTATCCCGTAATTCACTTTTGTTGAATCTACCATTGTTTCATTAATTCTGCCACATTCGTCTTTCGTCTCTCTTTTTCCTTTGAAGAGAGACAATATCACATTAGTATTAGTCTTTCAGAAGCATGCGCCCTCACATATTTACACCGTTGAACTCTAAACTGAGAGTGCATCAGACAACTGATGAGAAAGCCATCAAGCTTTAAATTAGTTACGAAAAATGTGCAAAGAAATACTGGATAGAGCAAGAAGAACAGTTCTTAACACATATATATAAACGGCTTAAAGTGAACTAGAACATAGGTAGCTGGAACAGAGGATATATTCAAAAAACTCTTGATGCTATCAACAATCTGCACAAATGAACAAGTGGAATTCACGCGAGTCATTAAAATATCTGTACAAATAAAAAACTATGCAGAAACTATACCGCTCAAATTTAAGAGTTAAAAACATGCAAACACTGAGACAGTCGTAGTCATTAATACAACTCGTGCTCGGCAGACATCTAATGCCGCAAATTGAAATGCTCCAAGTACATGTTTTACCTATTATAATATTGCATCTCCTGAACAGGCAGCTTACTACTAATAGTGTGTGTGTGTGTGAATATTTTGACATCATTGGAAAGTCTATTATATCATTAGGACAAATAGAGCATGACCTTTATACATTCAATGAAAGAGGAACCCCATACCCAATCTTAGGAAGGGTTATCTAAGTTAAAACTGATTTATCGGTTCATTCCATCTTCATTGATGGAGATTTCTCTACTAATTAAGATGTAGAAATCTTGTAATTCATCAATAGTATTGATATAAGGTAAAATATCTATCATTTGCAACAAAATACAACAATCAAGTTTCCAATCCTAAGCCGTGGAGCAGTATGCATGTCCTGTAAAGAAGTGTCTCAATTGATCCTACATTACTTGCAATATGCAAGGCTATTATCCCCTTCATTTCTAGATATTAGAAACTTTTAAGAGAAATGAACATACAGATGACAGAAATGACAGAAATGAACACAAAAGATAAATGCTAAGGAAATGAACAAGGCAGTACTCCATCTCGCGAAGCAGCCGAGTAAGGCCTAAACTCATGCACAAGTACACCAGGGAAGGGCTCTTGAACGGGCAATCCAACAGACAACTGAAATGCAAAGATTACGACATAGGTCAGAAACCGTTCTATCAATTCCACCTCCACCTCCAGCTACCATTCTTCCTACGAATTCAACCGGCAATTCCGCCTCCACCACCACCACCATCTACCCTCCCCCTGCGAATTAACTACACCAACTATTATCCAACCCGACTCAATTTTCTCACCAATCAAATAAAAAAGCTGAGGGAAAATTTGACCCAACAACTAAAAAATGGAATAGCAAGTAAATAAGCAAAGATTATCACAAGCAAAGAATCAAAACCTTGATTTGAAGATGCGAAACTTTGATTCAAACTGCCCATCGTGAAGCCTTCGATTCAGCTAAACCAGAACAAACAGCCCTTGATTTGAAGATCCCATATACAATCATTTGATTTGGCAACGTGATCTATTTTCATTTTTTGGTTGTGGGTTTGTGAGAGGAGATCGATTTACAGGGAGAGTGAGAGAGTTGAGAGAGAGGGAGAGAGTTGAGAGATTGTTTCACGTGTTTTGTGAAATTTGATTGTTTTGTTGTGATATTTTGCAAAACGATATTTTACTCTTTCCTGTTTTTAGTTTTTTTTCTCATTTTCAAAAACGCGTTTTCGAAAATAAGTTAGAGGACGCGTTTTCGCTGTTTTGAAAAATTAAAAACAGAAAACGGCTTAAAAACGATAAAGAGAACATGCCGTAATTTTTCTATTTGGAGATAAAAGTTAGTATACTTATTTTCAAGCTTAGACAAACATGCCGCCTGATATGGCACTTGATGATTGGGGGAAAGCTGCAAGACACGGGAAAAATGTCCCCATCGTCCATTCGTCCTCTCTTCTCCTCCTCTCCAGTCTCATTCTCTTTCCGCTAATCATTTCCACATCCCTGCTCTGTCGCCATACATTACTTTTCATCTCATCTGGGCCAATGATTTTGGCTTCAAATTGATCCAGAGAGAGAGGTTTTTTCTGTAAGTAATCGATAAAGAAAATGGCGATGTGGGTTTTTGGATACGGATCTCTAATATGGAAAGCAGGCTTCCATTTTGATGATTGCCTTGTCGGTTTCATCAAAGACTACCGCCGTGTCTTCTATCAAGGTTAGAAGATAATCCCCTCTTCGATTAAGTTTTTGTTGTAAACTAGAGTATTGGTTTCCATATATCGATTTAAGAGTAGTCCGAGTCATTAAACAGATGGAATTGCTCCTTATAGCTTTTTGACTCTGATATAGTGCGTTTATTCTTGGGTTCTATCTTTAAAAGGCTAATCTTGTTAAGAGGTCTTGTAGCTTTAAGCGTTAATCATATATTCAATTGGCTGGAGTGGATTTTTCTTGATGCTGACAGTGTGATTACATTAAAATTATGTGCCTGCGGGGCTCGAGATGACGAAACTTTTTGTTGGGTTTGAGTTTAGGGAGCACTGATCACAGAGGGACTCCAGAGTACCCGGGAAGAACAGTCACATTGGAGCCTGCAGAGGGGGAGGTTTGCGTGAGTTCTTTTTGACCTCTCTCTTTTCTTTTCTCGTGTTATCAGTAATGCTTTAAATTAATGGTACAATAAGAAGAAATTTATCATTTTGGCCGTTCTTGGATATGTGATGGAATTGTATGTATGATGAAACAGCTAATCTGAAATTGTTAATTGGTATTAGCGTAGACTGTTGGTTAACTGGTACTTGAATGTTGGTGGACATTCAAACAAGTCACAAGAACATCAGATGATCCACATTACTGAACAGCCAAGTTGAAATAGCACATAAGATTTGAACTCTCACCTTGGATCAGAAGGATGGGGTTCGATTTCTGAGAAGTGTGTTCATGGAATATTTTGGATTTAGAAACATAGAGCACTTTTGAGTTCATATGTCCGTGGGACTGGATTTTGAGTTGTGATTACTAATTGGTATTGTGAGCTTGTGATCAAGTATAAGTCATAGGTGAGGAAATTCCTATGTGATTGTTGGAGATAGGGGTATCCAAAAGTCCCGAACCGAACCTGAATGAACCGAACCCGAACCGAACTGAACCGAGCGGTTCTTCATAAATTTAAATACCCGAACGGGTACTCGAATTGAGAACCGACGTGTTTGGGTCGGGTCTCGGGTCTAGACCAAGAACCGAAGAATCGAATAAGAATCGAAACTAAATAATTTTTTTATTTTTTATATTGAATTAATTAAATTATTTTATTTTTTTTATACAAATTAGCAAATTAATTAAATAAATTAGATTATTTCATGATTTTAATTTTAAACCCCAAATCATTTTTAAAATCTATTAACCCATTTTAATTTGAAGCAAATGAATATACTTTATGTAGCTTTGCTGTAATATTAATATCTATTTTTTGGTAATTGTATGCATTGAATTAATCTTATTGGACGACTAGTTATTTATATGTTTTTGAATTGGGTTACGTTAATTTGTAAAAGTTACGATTGAAATGTCATTAGTTGTATTTATGTAGTGTTATTGAAAATATTAAAAAATTTAATTATGGTACGGAACCGAACCCGAACGGTTCCATAATTATATTTGGACCCGACGGGTCCATTTATTAAATACCCGAAAGTTTTGGGTCGGTTCGGATCTTTTCAGAAGTGAACTGAACCAACCCACAGACAGCCCTAGTTGGAGCTCGAATTTGAAGTTTAGATTGTTACTATAACAATTTTAATCAACAATAATTTTAATTTCTCGACATATTATAATATGCATTTGTATGTATATGTAAGTTGACGTAGAATGTCATTTACATAAAATGTATGAGGGGTCTCATGATAACTTTTAGCTAGCAAAGATAACTTGGACCATGTGTCTCTGTCCTAGTAATATGTAATACGCACATGTTGATCCTTGATAAGAAGTCAGAGCACAAGAACTTGTACTTAGATTGGAGTTAACTTTAGATGATAACAGTTGTATCATTGTTCTGGTTTTCCGAACAAGGATCGGTGATGGATATTTGAATTGGAAAACATTCATATGATATATTGAGCAGTGTATATAGTTGAACATAGATTGAATGATTAATTTTTTATCTCTTTGGATAATGTCATAATACCGACTTTCATATTGTTCTAAAATATGGTTCCAGTAAATATCTGAATCACGAGACGGGGTCATTAATTATTCTTGTTGAACCAATGTACCATTTTCTTTGCGTCCTTGATCTCTCCTGTGACCTGTCATTAATGATTTATTATTTATTTCTTTTCTCATGTTGTTTTGTGCGTGTAAATTCTCCTAAGTATGGATTTATTATTTAAAATCCTTATGAAATGTATGAACTTGACAAATATTTGACGCGGAAGATCAGTGGGGTGTTGCCTACAAGATTATCCGGAAGGAAGATCAGGAGGCTGCATTGGAGGTAGGTTTTAACTTTTAGAAAATATATAAAATGTTGGATTCTGTCTCTTTTTATGTAACTGTTATTAAAATTATTTCTTTTTGGTGGTAAATGAATTCCTTCCATTTGATTTGATCTCAATGATAAATTTGAAGATATAGACTCAACTGTGCTTTTGATTTTACTGGCTACTGTGACAGTAGAAGCTTTCAAATATTGGATTGCTTCAAAAGAATACCTCAGCAAATCTAAGCACAGAGGGAGTAGAAGTCATATATGCTATTATAATTTAAGATATTAGTAAAGTAAACAAAGAATAAGACATAATATTCTGATATTTCAGTTTCTGATATTTCAGTTATAGAATGTTCCTTATGCCCTAGAGTTTGTAATTTTCTTAAACAATTTACACTCTTACATCCACTGTATCGTTAATATTTGTAACTCCTAACTTTGTTATGGATTAACTCTTCCCTTAGAAGAGTAATAATAAATGGAATGAAATCATAAAACAAGCAAAGATTGGACACTAGTGATTCGCCCTGAATGTGAGATATGTGTTTGCTGGTTTCACTATGATGGAGAGCAGGAGTGCTAGGTTTCGTCACGCCTCTCCCACACCTGAAACCTGCCTCCTAAAATCCTCTGTGTATGTAGGAATCTCATGGCGATCTAATACATGTATGGAATAGAGGTCAGATTGCAGTCGAGTGGATAAGTGGAGAGTATGATTAGGTTCCACATAGTCCAAAATATTGGACACGGAGAAATTTGTTTCCACTTCTATTGCATGTATCAGTCTTTTCTTGTTCATTAAGTACCTGTTTTTGGCTTACTCCTTGTTTTCTCCCTTTTCTCAAATGAAATACCTCTCTGCTGCATTGATTAGTATCTTGAAGTGAGGGAAAAGCAGTACGACATGAAGGCTTATCTCAACTTTTTCACTGTAAGTCTGAAGTTCATCCAAGAATTATATTGATGTCTTCATTTGATTTTATCTAAAACATCAAATTGTTGGAGCAAATTCTGATTGTGCATATGCATGTTAAATTTTGTTTCAGGAGCCCACTGCTACAACACCCGCAGTTTCCAATGTATTGGTGTAAGTTGCACAAACCGCCACTTATTATTGCGTAAATCCACTAGAGCATGTTCTGTACACAATAATGCACGATTTTAACTTTTTCTTTATTAGTACAACGCGATACTCAATAGTCCACTATTAGGTTGCAGCCCCCTTACCAAACAATCCATTAGAGCCCATTTGGAACATTAGTATTGGACAAAGCTACACGCGACAGCAATCAAGAATTTAAACTTCTCTTCTTTCTAATATTTTCAAGTACTATGCAGTCCATCTTACCAAACAAACAATTTTAATGTTTTATTTTTGACAATTGGCCATTTCAAAACGTAATATTTTGACTGTTTAGATACATAGCATCTGCAGACAAGAAGCTGAACAAGAACTACTTGGGACCTGCTTCATTTGAAGAAATTGCTGAGTATGTTTTTCATTTCTCTGACACTCATTTTGCATTCTGTACAAGCAGTTCTATAAGCCTCTGTCAAAAGTAATTGGGATGTCAACTCCAATTATCTTAGAAGATGTTCTGCTAAACTTAAAAGAAAGTTAAAACTTACTTTCAAGTGAATTTTAGTTTCCAAACTTATAACTCACTTTTTCTTAAAAGTTGCTCTATTAAGTTGCTTAGCACCTGTTTGGTAGGAATTAAAATCCAGATTTTAACATGTTATGGGATTCACGATATTTTAACCACACATTTCATCAACCTTTATCAAAACTACTAAAACTCTGATTTTAATCTCCCACCAAACAGTGGCTTATTTATATATAAGTTACTTAATAAGCAATTTCTTTAAGCTTGGACAAACATATGCTCGTTCATCTCTCTAATTCTTAAGTAATGGACAGATACAAACATCAAACATTAGTATTACTTTTTTCTCTATATTTTCTGCGATAACTTTCTATCCAGAATTACGTGTTCAAATAGGCGTTTCACTTGGTTGAAAACAATCATATTTTGATTTATTTTTTGTAAAATGAATATGCTTCAAGATGAACATTCAGGCGCTATATCCATCACGAAAAATCCATGCAAACTATGTAAAAAGTAATATGCAGATATTTTGTTGATACCATTCTTATCTCGATTTTTGCAGTCAGATTGTTCATGCTGAAGGCCCCTCAGGACCAAACCGAGATTACCTTTTTAAACTGGAAACTGCACTTATACAAATAGGTGAAGTCATCTAAGTTCCTTCTGAACATGACAAAGCCTGAACCAGCTACCTTCCCATTTCCTTCTATGTTCTACCATTACAAGCATGTTTGGTACACTGGATTAGAATGCATTAAAGATTATACTAGGTCAATTGTCCTCAACCTTTTATTTTCTTTTCTAGTGCAGGGAAGGGTGGTGGAGGGGCATGGGAGGGGAGAGGATGTGGTGTGGGGCGGGGTCAGATGAGTGGGACAAATATGGGGGTTGCAGGTTTGGATAGTCAAGAAAGATTAGTGTTTTTTTTCCTATTTGTATATATATAGCCACGTTTGGGCCACCATATTTTCTCATTAAAATAAAAAATATGACCGTTATTCATCACATCAACATTTAAATTCAAATTTTCTATCTCTTGTGTGGGCCCCAATAATGACTATATTTTTCATTCTCATTCTACAAAAAGGTGGCTCAAACAAGGCCATATTGTTTATCTCAGGGTATAATTGTCTTTTCGTGGCAACTTAACAAATACTTGGACGAATCCGTTAGTATTGACCATGAGACAAGTGCGTGGAAGTGGAAGGTTGGGGACACGAATATCAAAAATCAAAGGTTTAAGACAAAAGTGCAAAATGGGTTTAAGGTTAAGAGCGACGTGTGAAAGTATAATTTATAATGATTGTTACCTATATCTAATCCTTGATAACGTTGAGTCATGTCCAATCTATCGACGTACAGATTTGCTGGGCTCATTTTACAAGGTAGATTGTATAGTAAGCGACTAAATCTTGTATCTCGTTCAATCTGATCTTATATAGTTCATGTTTGGTAGAAAGTAAAATCAAATTTTTAGTAAATTTTGAGAAAAGTTGATGAATTGTGTTGTTAAAATTAATTGTTGATTATGACTTAGATTTTAATGCAAACCAAACAGGGGCACAGTACTACCTCCAAAACATGACATGTGTACTTGTCCTTATCCTGTATTTCATTATATACACTTTGCTCAATCAATATCACTGTCCAGGATGTGAAGACAAACATGTCAACGATCTTGCCGATGAAGTGAGGATGCTATTAAAAGAGGAAATGGCCACTTGATGAAGACGGGGGTTCACTGAGCGTCACATTGTAACTGTATTCGTAATTCTTTCGAGCCACAAGGAAGCTTATTCGAAACTCAGGCTATTGAGATACTGAAATATAATTTGACTTTGCTTTTTGCTGTTTCAGCTTATTTTCATGAAATTTCGCTCGACTAAGCTTAAAAGATACATACTTCTGAAGAAGGAAGAAGTAATGCATCTGCCTCTTCAATATTTATGCAGCCGATTCTAAATTTTATGACCTTAAAAATTTTTGCGCTCGTTATCTAAGGTATCGAAATAAATGCCCATCGACTCTCTTACCTCCCGCTCTTCAATTATATTATGCAATTGACTCTAAATTTATATGAATTATGCTTACGTTATAACGGGATCGAAATAAATGCCCACCAAATCTCTCAACTCCTCCGATCTTTATGCAGTTGACTCTAAATTTATTAAGAAGAATAATTATAATTATCTAACTTTTCTCAACTCTTTAGCCACACATGCTTCAAAAATCGATATTCAAAACTCTATAGGGGCTTAATAGCTATAGATTGCACCTTCACTATTTCAAGAATAAAACAGCTGTAGAGTTTAATTATTTAAATGAATTATTAAGTTCATTATTGATTACATACATACATTCATATATAATCTACTAGTAATGTTCTTGCTTGGATGCTTCAAATAATTGATTATAATTAATTTAAATCGAGGGCTAAGGTGTATGCCACCTCAGTATCTATCATATTCCCTTTATTATTTAAATTAGGTAATAATGAGATTTAAAGATTCTCCTAGACCTTAAATTTGTTATGGAGTAATTTGAATGGCTAATAACTAAGTCAACCATGTAATTATGCTGAAATAATCTTAAATTGTAACCTAAAAAGGTCATCACCGTTAGTAGAAATGTTAACGGACGAATGACAACGCCATGTTTGGCTAATGTTTATAATCAATCATATCACTTTATTCTACATATTTTATGGGATTCATAAGTCATTTCTATCTATTTATAATTTATATAGCTTTTAAGTACTTCCAAACATGTCACATTCCATTAAGTCTTTTTGAACTAAATATGATTAAGAAATATAGATAAATGAGATATTTTTTCATTATTTATCTTTCAATTTTTTTTCTTTTAAAATAGGTTGAACGTAATAAAAAGGGGTTAATAGCAAAAAACCCCTCTACATACTTGACGATGTGCTGTATACTCTCAACCTATTAAAAATCGTAGAAAACGTCTCTATTTGAAATCTTGAGTGCAAATTACAACCTTTCGAAAACCTCCGTATGAATTTTGATGTGTGAATCAACCCCTTATTATCCAATTTCATTAGTTTAACCATTAAAAATTGTCAAAAATGATAAGAAATTTATGATCCTAAACTTTTTTGGCAAATTATATTCAAATTTTTTATATACTCCGCTAATCACAATCCCAGATTTTTAAAACTTTATTTTCCACCTCACCCCACTTCATCATAAACAAACCCGTTCTCTGAAAATCCCAACGCCCAATCCATTAGAAAAGTCCCATAGAGATTAACTCTAACCGATCCACTATCAAAATCTCAATCGCTAAGAAAACCAATAACTTTCCATCCAAAATTAATAACTAGTATTGCAGAATGCTTTATACAAAGGCGAGAAATACCCCCTCTTTAACAATACCCTCTTCTTTTTTCCCCTCAACGGCCGGATCCCGTCCCTCCACACTCTGCATACCACCACCGCCTCCGACACCACAAGCAGTTGAACTTTCGGTTCTCGAACATTCCATTGGATTTAACTGATATGTTTTAAGTATGATTTAGGCCCGCCTCATGATTATTTATTGACATTATTGCCAGACTTTCTTGAGTATCGTTATTAGATGGCATTAATGATGGCCTAAGATGATCAAGGTGAAAACTACTCAATAGACACTCTACATAGAACCCACTCTATGCTAAGCCGCCAACCACTACAAGACCCTCTACTTACATGTTGGGCCGTCTAATGCTATAGGGCTCTCTACGTTCTTGTTATGTTGTTGATCACTGTGAGACCCTCTACATTCGTTCAAGGTTGTCTATTGTTATGATAATGTCCACCACTACAGGGCTAACACAACACGTAACTATAAAACCATTCTTGAATTGGATGATAACCTTTCAACAGTTATTATGGACACAACCAACCGCTGAATAGATGTAGATCCTCCATTTGGAATGTGGGGTAGTGAGAGATGCTACGTGGAACACGTGGCACGATAACCGCTCGGCAGTTGTATGATTCAGTCACCTATAAATACTAAGGCGAGATAGGTATGGGGCTGAAATTTTTGACTATTCGAATACTCATTCTATCTTTTGTAAGTCCACGTCTTTAAATCTCTTACTAATTTTCACGCCGAAGATACAATGAGGGAGAATGCTCCAAACTCATTCTGCAGGTAATATTAGTTCATCGAAGTAACAGAAACGCCTTGCTCCACCACTATGGCAATGGAGTTTGTTTCATAACTATTTTAGGTATTTTCAAATTTTCGATATGGGTTTTCCGGATTCAAGTGGTAATGTGGTGCTTGGTTTGGAATTGGTTTCTTGGAGGGATAGACTTGGTGTTTCTTCTATGGAAAAGAGATTAGGGGGTGGGGTGGGTGGAAAATATACAAGAATTTCGGCAGCTTCTTAATTGTTGCTATAGGTATTCTTTTGGTTCAAATTAAGATAATTTAAAAGACGTTTTCTGCTATTCCAATACATGAAAAATATATTGCACATCGTCAAATATGTATGGAGTTCTCCACTATTAATCGTGATAAAAAGAAAAAAAAACATGGGAGACACTTATCCATACAGACGTGCTTTATCTCGAGCCGAAGGCAAAGTACAAGAAGCTCTAAAATTCAAATTATTTTTTATACATCTAGCAAGAATGGAGGGAAATTTGGACAATCTCTTCCATGTCAAAATTACAATTTCGGCCCTCTGCCTTCTGTACATACCTTTAAAGCCCATATCACTACTTGTATACCAAGAGTAAAGCTTTATCCGCCAAATTCCCAATTCACTTCTGAAATTACAAAAACTCACCGTATTTGCTCAAAAACCGCTTGCAGAATCCGTAGATACAGCTCGTGTGAACGTGTTATTTAAGGTACATTATTATTTTTAGAGACTTCTGTTGCATAAATTTGTATAATTATTCTTCATTGGTGTTGTTTGATTCTTTTCTTTTCATGTTTACTTGGTGCAATTTTTTTATATGTCTTATGCTTTTAAGTGATTTTGTCTATGTTTTTAGGGGTTTTCTGGTTTGTTTTTCTGTTTGGCAGGATTTGTCATATATTTGATGAGATGGAGGGAAGAACAGCTGGAGAAGACGAGTTACTTGATCTGAATAAAAAACCAATTGAGAGAAAAAGAAAAAGGAGAGAAATTGATTTTTTAAGTGCCAATGTAAAGGAGGATTCTTCGAATGGCTCTGTGGGGAGGGTTTTGAGGTCAAGGACAATGGCTATGACTGATGGTGAAAAACAAGTCATTGAGTTGGAAACAGGTAATGCGGAAGAAAAGGATGAAGGAGAGATGCAGGTTTCACTGAAAAGTAAAACAATGAAGGGACGGCGAGGTAGGCCCCCAAAAAATAAAACTGGTGATAGTGGGTCGAGTTTTGGGAAGAAATATGATAATGTAACAGGGCAGAAGACAGTGGATGAGGGTAATAAAGGGAATGGCCGAGGAAGGAAAAAGGTTAAGGGTCGGGTTGGAAGGCCACCCAAGGTGAAGGACGGGATTTATGGAATACTTTTAAAAGAAGATGACAAAGTAATGGAGCAGAAGACAGTGGATGAGAGTAACAAAGGGATTGGCCAAGGAAGGAAAATAGTAAAGGGTCGTCTTGGAAGGCCGCCCAAGATGAAGGACGGTTCTGGAATAGTTGTAAAGAAGAAAAAACGTATGGGAGTGATGGATAAAGGCATTGGTGTCGATGTCTTTGAGAAAAATGGTAATCATACGAAGGCTGATGTTCATGGCAGGGAAAAGAGGATAAAGGTTAATCCCGATGATGTGGGAAAGAGTGGAATGAAGGAAGAATCGGAAAAAGTGGAGTTTGCTGAAGGAAAGGAAAAGGGACGTAGGGAAGAGAAGCAGTTACTGAGGGATCAGATAGTTTCTATGCTTAAGAAGGCAGGGTGGACTGTTCAGTACAGGCAGAGGCAATACAAAGATTACCAAGATGCTGTCTACGTAGACCGAGAGGGAAGAACTTACTGGTCTGTCACCTTGGCCTATAGAAAGCTGAAGGAGAGGATTGATGCTGGTGATGCAGAAGAAAACGATGTTGCCGCATTCAGCCCGATACCGGAGGAGGTGTTCAGCATGCTATTTAGAATCACCGAGAAAGGAAAGAAGAAAAAGGAAGGTGCTGGAAACACTAGCAAAGGTATTGCTAAAGAGGAGTCATCTAAGAATAAATCAATAGACAGGAGGAGAAAAAAGGTTGGTGCTGGAAGTATGAGCAAAGAAATTACCAAAAAGGAATCATCTACGAGTAAATCATTAGGAAGAGGAATTAAATCAAGATTGAATAGGGGCAAAAGACGAACTCTATGTGCTCGTAGACCTGGGGAGGGGTCCGATGGAGAGAACGATGAACTATATAAGGGGAAACGCACATTGCTCTCATGGATGATTGATTTGGGAACAGTTCCCCCCAGGGGGAAGGTGATTTATAAGAAAAGAAATAATACAAAACTAACGCTTGAAGGGAAGATTTATAGAGATGGAATCTGTTGTGACTGTTGCAATAAAATTCACACCATTAGGGACTTTGAATCTCATGCAGGAGGCGGACTTCAAAAGCCATATAAGAATATCTATTTGGAATCTGGGGTTTCTCTTTTCGAATGCCTCAAGGACTCCTGGACTAAGCATTTGGCAACTGATCATATTGAATTTGTTCTAGTGGATATGAACGGCGATGATCCCAATGATGATATATGCAACATTTGTGCGGATGGTGGTGATTTGATGTGTTGCGATGCTTGTCCATCGGCATTTCATAATGTCTGCTTGGGTGTTGAAGTACGTATATGGATCACGCTTTTCTTACTTTTTTGTCATAACCTCTGTCTTTGTCATTAATTGTTTGATGCTATTTTAAATACATGCCGTGACAAGCTTACTTGATTGTGTGGATACTTTTGGCATTGCCATTTTTAAGCATTCCAGAGTTCTATTTACTTTTGGCGGTTCTCTTAAATAGCCGCGTGTCAGGCAATTAATAGTGTTTCTCTTTTTTGCAGCATTTGTGCTAGCTTTTATTCGAAACCTGTCTATTCTGAAAAATCAGACGAAGTTTAAGGCCGTTCAACCATAATCTACAACGTTATCAATAATTATGCAGTGTTTTATAGCCAGGATTGAAACAAATTTCTTTTTACTTGGTCGAATTATGGCATATTGCACCAATTACGGAAATCTGATAAATCTTATTTACGGGACTTTTGGGTGTTGAAAATAAGTTATGACGTAACCTAAGTTTAATTTTCTCCAACATTTGATTAAGTTACTGAAGCATAAATATTTTTCATATGGTAATTCAAGAAGGAAAACTACATTGTTGCTAAAAGACTAATTACTCTGAAAAATATTAATATGTCGCAATTCTCTCTCTTTTTGTAAATTCAAGTGTAATTGGATATTCACATTTCTTGTTTTTCAGAAGGTTCCCTCTGGAGATTGGATCTGTGTATGCTGCTCATGCAAATTCTGTGGAGTGGCTGGTAAAATTACCTCAAAGATCGACAATGATCACGATTTAGTTGAGTCTGAATTATTCACGTGCCGTTTGTGTGAGCAAAAATGTATGGTTCAGTCTCCATCCCTTCCCAATTACCTAGAGATCTTGTTTCTATTTAATCAAGTATAACGGGTGGTATTGCAATGGTTTTTCTTTTTCACGGTTATTGCCTTTTGCAGTCCACCTGCCTTGCATTCGTGGGAAGGATGCTAGATATATGGACTACCACAATCCGTCTTTTTGCAGGCCAGAATGCCAGAATGTAATTCACTATCTTTATAATGCTACTGTTTGTTCTTCTGCAGAATCTTGATGGTATTAGTCATTTTGTTGTTAGTATAACATTTTGGTAGACTTTCTTAAAGATGTCACATACCCTTTTTAATTAACCTTTGTAGCAAAGGTGTCTTGGTTTCAATCCCATATTGCAGCGCCTTGACAAAATTTGTTCAATCATATAGTTAAAAGATAACATTTGGAAGGAAAGGTTTGACACATCCCTTTGCCCTTCTCTCATATATATTAGTTTTATATGCTGAAATATCTTTCAATGTGGAGTGGTTGAGGGCAAAACGAAGACAGTAGTTTAACTGCTGGGATCCCTATCGTCCTGCATCACTGCAAAATGGAACTATCAAATAACGGATGACTCGCTTTATTGGGATAGGAGGAATTGCAATGTCGGCATTTCTTTCCTTCCCTAAATTAATTCACTAGTAGGTAGCGGTAGGAGAGATCAATTATGGTGGTATGGAGCGTTCTCGAATTCCGGCCGGCCTGATCAGTATGGAGCCGAAGGCGAGGGTTTCCAGCAGACCCNATGGAGCCGAAGGTGAGGGTTTCCAGCAGACATTAGAGATTTTAAATTATAAGTTAACATCAGGAGGTGGGCATTGACTATTCAGTTGGATTATCTGCTATTCATTTCTTATCTTCCTTCAAGCACTCTGCAAAGTCGATTTTTTTAGCAAACTTTGTTTTACCTCCATTTATTGAGTAATGCATTCAAATATTAGGCTTCTCCCTCCGACTATACAATTTCTCATCATATTGTTTTTCTTTGGTGCAACTGCTTGGTATATGACAATGTTATGGCCCTAATATCATGAGCCTGCAGATTTTTGATCACCTACAGGTACTGCTCGGGGTGATACATGAACTAGAAGAAGGATTTTCCTACACTATTCTTCAGCATAATGATATAAGCAGTGACTCATCAGTGGTTGAAAGCAATTCCAAATTAGCTCTTGCTTTTTCTGTCATGGATGAATGTTTTCTACCTATCATTGACCACCAATGCGGAAAGAATATTATTCACAGCATTGTCTACAGCTGTGGGTAAGCACAGAATTTATAGCAACCTCTAGTTTTTTGATAGAATATGAAACCGAAGAGTTTCATAATATTTGAATGTTGTCATTTATGTTTGTTTTGAGGTTGATAGCATATGCACAGGTGACCATAACCGAGATTCTTTTAAAGAAATTTCCTGCATTCTTCAGTCTGCTTTATGATGATGTTTCAGAAATCCAAAATCATGATTTATCTAACAAATAGAGCTAAAAGCAAATCATTGTGCCTGTGGTACTGAAAATATGCTTCCTAAAAAGGCTTCTTTTGTTTGAAGTCTTTCTATTCATATTAAATGACATTCGAGTGTGTTCAATAATTCTATTTGAACTTTACAAATTAAAAATTTATAAAATATATGCCAAGTTTCATAGATGTCAGATACTTAAACTTTGATACTTGTGAAACCAAACTCCCTAGTAAGTTTTCAATGGTTTCTTGCCATAAATGTTGTATATTCAATGCTTGGAAAAGATTTCTCTCATATAATTTGTTAAATCTTTTTTAAGTTACCCTTTTGGTGAAGGCAAAGTAATCTACTATATGCAACTTATTGCTGGCCAAACAAAGTGTATCTTTTGTTATTCTATGTCTTATTGGTATTTTCAGGTCAAACCTTAGACGGCTGAACTACAGTGGGTTCTGTACCATTATTCTAGAGAAGGGTGATGAAATTGTTGCTGCAGCATCTATAAGGTTGTCTGCACTTGATTTTTATACCACCCAATATTGCACAAGAGTTTTGATTATTTCTTTATTTTCCATCCCAGATAAGATTGTAGAGATTGTTCTATATTATTACTTACAAGTCGAATAGAACTCATTCACTAATTTTTAATGCATCATTTTTTCTTGTTTCCCAAAGTGAAAAGATTACTTGTTTTTGCATTATTCAAGGTTCTCTTCCACTGAGTTCTAAAATGGTTAAATCTGATATCACCAGTCCAAGTATTTACTATAATTTCTTGCCATTGATTCCCTGTGGTATCTTGTGCAGTATTGGAAATGAGACGTGACACAATGAGCACTAACATTTACACATTTATGATCTCTGAAAATAGGATCCATGGGAGTCAGTTAGCCGAGATGCCTTTCATTGGAACTCGTTTGAGGCATCGACGTCAAGGGATGTGCAGCAGGCTTCTGAAGGGAATTGAAACGGTATGATTTTGTTTATTTGTGAACTTGTCAGAAGCACAACTTACTATTTTATTTTCTTTTACACCCCCCCCCCCCCCCCCCCCCCNAAAAAGTTGGAAGACCTCCCAAATTTTTCCATAGTTCAATCTCTGAGCTTCGCTTTTGGATTTCTGGATTGCACTCATGGGGTTGAAAGGCTTGTGTACATTTTACTATAATAATCTTGATCAATACCTTATTATGGACCAAACTCAAAAGGCTTGGAATCTGTTTGGCTAACCTTAAAAACTTAAGGTATAAGTAATCGTGCTCTTATTTGTTCGGATTAGCTGTCTCCTGCTTTCTTAAGCTGCAAATTGCTTCTCAGGTTCTCAGCTCTCTTGGTGTTGAGAAACTGGTCATACCTGCAATATATGAACTTAATGAAACATGGAAAAATGTTTTTCATTTTGTGCCTCTTGAAGAGTCCAAGAGACGAGAAATAAGGCTCATGACTACAGTAGCGTTCCCAGGGATTAATATGCTGCAGAAATCTCTACTAAAGCAAAGTATGCAAGAAGAGCCTACTGAGGATATCGGTGGTCAAGTCCAAAATCTGGATGAAGTTACTGCTATGGTTGATTCAGGTGTCGACTTGACTCATGGCTTCTTAGCTATGGAATCAACTGATGTTGGAACCGAGCAACGAAGAATGCGAGGAAATCATTGTAAGGACATCGATATTCTAGCTGCATCTGAGGTCGAAATCCACAATCGCGATGGAGTTGATGCTATGGTTGATTCAAGCGCCGACCTGACTAATGGCTTCTTAGCCATGGAGTTGACTGAAGTTGGAGCCGAGCAACAAAGTATGGAAGAAGATCCTAGCAAGGATATCGAATTTGCAGCTGTTGCTTTTGAATCAGGTGCTGATGTGGCCAATGTCGTCTTGAATAATTCATCTGATGTGAGATCTGGTACAGCGGGTGTCGAAGAATCTTCAAACCATGAAAATCACCTAGATCATCAAGATGCCAATGCTGATGTGAATTCTGGAGGGAAAGCCGAAGAAGAGGAACAGGAACTCTGAATCTCGTGACGGACACAAAGAGGCGGGTAACCTCGTGAAGGGGCCGAGCGGCTGAAGTTTTCTGCATTTTTGAAACTTGATTTTGTATAGGGGAATCATACCCGGGTTTCGATGAGGTATTTGTAACAAAATTTTTAATGTTCATTTTTGGTTAGGGGAGAGTAGTCCTTACTGACCTTTTTATTGGGTTGTGACCCAAATTCGAATTTTTTTTTATATAAATATTGTTTCTTCTATTCCACGCATTTTTACTAGAAAAATATTTTTTTTCTTTATTCTATGTATTTTTGATGCTATTTTCATCTTTAAGAATATTGTTAGTGTAACGATCCGGGTCCCACTTAACGGGCTGTCTTGGTCGTTAGATCGATGACGTATCGTTCTCACTGTACCAATATGGATTTTTTTAGTATACTTTGTCCTCACTCGTACGCTTCCCGAGAAAACTTTACAGGGGGTCACCCATCATAGAATTGCTCCAAGTCAAGCACGCTTAACTGCAAAATTTCTAACGATGGACTTTCGGAAAGGAAAGTGCACCTTATTGGTATGAGTAGTACCTATCAAATATTTTAAGCTTTCCGATCTGAGTATTACAGTTAGGGTTTTGATATGTTTTCGATATATAGTTGATTCTTTACAAGTTGGTTCATTACAGGGGCATTATTCAAATTGACCTTGTTGACCAAGCCTTTTAAGCTTTTTATAGAAGTGTTTATTTTATCCTTAATGATATAGGTTTTTATTTATTGCAAGCTATATCATTTTCTTATGTATATTTTTAGAGATTAGTCTCTTATATTTAAACAAATTCATCTTTTGATCTAATTCGTATAAAAACATTAGTTTAAATATCATAAATTATTAAGGTTAATATTTCTTCTTTCTTGGGTTTTAATATATAATTCCATTCTAAGTTGTAATATGTTGGGGGTAATTTTCAACATATTTTATTAACTTTTTATTAAGCTCTTCAATTAATATACTTATGGTTTCACCATGTTCTATTTATTCTTCTATTTTATTAAGTTCTTGAGAAGTAAATTTTATTTTATCTAATATCTTATCTAACAAATTATCTA